ACACAATATTTATATATATTTATAATATTTTGTATAACTTAAACGTCGCATCACGGAACGTAAACGTTTGTGAAACCTGCAGCATGATAATATGCGTACACGCGAAGCTTATAATATTATAGACTGTGTGTATGTGTGTGTGTGTGTGTACATAGTACCTACTACCTAATATAGCTATAGGTATTATTTTCGTGCGCGATAACTTCTATTCCGACGACAATAATATTATTAATAACAAGCGTGTTTGACATAAAAAAAAAAATCGTCCATGTAGACGTGGTCACTGGTCTCTGGCGACTTTGCACGCAACGGCACGGCATCGCACAGAATCGTTTCCTTAACTGTTGTTTCAAAGACGGTCGCTTTACTTTCACGAATTGGAGATAAAAATAATGTATTATGGGAATTGAAATACATACTGAATGAAAAAAAGCTAACCTAAATGATAAATATATAAATGATTTTTAATGAACAAACATTTTCGGAGATTTTCGATCATCAGTGTTCAGCATCAGTGTTAATCGTTAATGTATATACCCATAAATCATGATGTAAAATTGTATTTTTTTTTCACTTGTACAGCCCTTAGTTTTTAGCAATTACAGTAATAATATTCGATAACTACAAATCGAACACATAATATTATATTATCGTTATAATACTGATATAAGATATAACACCAATAAGGATGTACACAAGCAGAGGGTTAGTGAATAGATTTTGAATAGCTGTAGGCTAAATGAAATCATGAACAATATCCTAAACACCAATAGTGATGACCGGTAGCTACTAAATGTTGTGTTTATGGGATATTTTTTTTTAACACAATATAGATAAAATCATAAATCGGATCAACGATTATAATTTCCTTTGCCACTATTACCCTAGAGTCTTGTGAAAAACTATTACTAGATTGTTCTTTATTGTTTACGAGAACAACGATTTACGATTTATGAAAATTAATTTATTAATTATATATTTATGTAAATGGTACATTTTTTTAAAAAATTCAGATTTCTTAAACGTAGTTTACGTAGTCTGAGCACATATTTGTATAATATAACAAGCAATGTATCAAATTTTAAATTTTTATTATTTTAACATTATTTTATATTTATAGTGATATGTTGTAGTTTGATACATTAGATGCCGCTCATTAGACTCACTATGGTACCAAAGCATATTTGAGTCAATAACGTAAAAGTTTCAATAATAAAAACATATATATATATATTCTTATATACACTGTAATAAAATATAAAATACGATTTGGCAATGTACCTACTTATAAATATTCATTATTATATATTTCATAATATGTATTTTGTCATTCATTAAGGTAAAATAAGTTAAAAAAAAAATTGCAAAAATACATTTTTTTTCAAAAATGTTGTTTCGTAATGAATTTAAGTTATTTTAAAAAAAATGTTTAAAACCGTTTATACTCTTCGATGTGATGAGTGAGGAAATTGTATATCGTACAAATATATTCGTAAAATTGGGAAATATGCCTTTAAAAATACACACTGACACTAACCGGTGTGGTAAGTTTAATGGGCGAATGTTTTTCTGTGTGTTAATCGAGACCAGCCTACCGTTTGAATCCAATATGCGAATGAGTCAATTAATCGTGTTCCCATTAAGAGGCGTCCATAGTACCTAATTGTATTCATATTTTCAAAAATAAATGAATTAAAGATTAGTATTCGTAATGATTTGCAGTAAAAAATGCTATTATTTCATTTTTATGCAATATTGTATTAATGAACTGCGAACTAAAACTATTATTTTCGCGTGTTGTACCAGTACCTACATTCTTATTTTTATCATAATTATGAATATTAAAATAATAACCGGTTATTGCTGCACCGTACTCTGTGTATCAGACATCTCCATTTGTATGACATTAGCTTATCTCACAGACAGAGATATACCCGGTTATCGTACCAAAATGTAAACAATATTATTCAGAAAGTGTAAAAAAAGTATTTTGAAAAAAAATGGAGATATATCTCAAATATATTTCAGCTTGCACAGGATCCTTTAATTCGAGGATTTTCCTCTTCATCTTTATTCTATTCAGAAGAAGTTGCAAGTACTTGGTTAAATTTGGAAAAGATGAGACAAAATTGCAATTTGTGTTCAATTAGTTCCTTTAAAAATGACATATACAATGTACAATTTATTGTTTATGACTTTATGAGGGTATTATTTTTAAATGTACGTATTTTAATTATTATTTAATATTCATTGTCATTAATAAGGATTTACTATATATATTAATGTTTTAATAGAACTTGGGGTATAATCTCCCCTATATCTTTATCCGTTGATGCTCTTCAATATTAAACTGGCGAGGGAGGTACAGATAGTTTGCATTGCGAGTGAATTTTAAATGGTAATTTATTTTACTCCAACTTCGAGTTCGGCAATCGTGAAAATTATTTTTGCTTCGATATCGAGTTAGGTAACCATGGATATAGTTGCTCGATTTTTAAAAACGAGAAAGTAAAAATGTCGGCTTACATCGCGTGCATTTTTCGTATCATTAAGATACTCGTTTTAAATAAAATATATTATATACCTACATCCAATTATACATTTTTTTCGCCGATTCTTTTATCGTGACCTCGAGAATAAATTATTGATCACTATATATTTATTCTTAAAATCGAAGAGAAATCATTGAGAACAAGCGTTTTACTGAATTACTTCGATTGGGTAAAAAAAATAATATACGCGTCCATCTGTCGTTTTACTCGTAATTTAATATATTGATATACTTAATAAAAATGACCGATATTGGGCAGGATAAAATTTACGATGTACGTTCTCTATATTATGTTCATTTACCAAAAATGAATGTAGTTTAGAACAGTTTGTTCTCGTTGAGTAGGTTAAGACTGTATGGACAATATGGTTGGATGTCAATACATATATTATATTAAAAATGGTTAAATTAAATTAAAAAATACTATTTTCTGTATCGATAAATAATTCCCATGGTAAAATTGTTATTCCTGCTTGGCTGCTTGTAATAAATTATTGAATCTGATATTTATTTTATTACGCATACGCTCAATAGTGCGTGGTGCACAGTTATTTATGTGCATTTGAAATTATTATTCTACGTTTTAGAAAAGTTGACAAATTATTTTAATTATAATATTATCGATATTATATTATAGTGACATGTTCCTAATACATTTCTTAAAATATTATGCTTTAAACTAACGCATAATTTTTAAACCACTTTTATATGACACGACGTACGTTGTCGATTATCTTTTCAATAAAAATTACAATTAATCAGCATTTCCGATCATCGTAGCGTAGTAATGTAGCTTATTTAAAATTCGAAAGTCGTTTGAATGTAATTAATTATTACGCTTTATAAATATATTTTAAATTTCAAACTGATGACACGGACGATTAACAAAAAAAACAAACTAAAACACTTTTTATCAAGAAAATATTAATTTTACTATAAACTCTGATAGTTAATCTAGCTTTTAAAAGGTTTGTAAATCGAACAGCACTATCCTCGTAATATACCAATTAGTATTAAATGTAAAAAATGAAATCCTTATGTATACTCGTTATATGTTTGGATCAAAAATCCGTACAATAATTGTATTTTTTTTACTTACTGTATTTAGCAGTGCACCTAGGTACCGAGTAGGTATACTGTGGATATTTTCTACCTAACAGTTATTTTCTTTGTTGGAAATAGACGAATACATAGTCGATGTTTAGAAATTGAGCGTAAAACGAATAGTTATTTTTTCGCAGTAATTTTGAATTTTTTTCTCTCAGATTTTTCGGAATGCCATTTGCGATGTGTATACAAAAGATACAATTTTTATAACAACTGAGGTTGACAGACCACTGGAAATTTGCATATGTGCGATTGTACATCTAACATAAACAATACCTATTCGTAATAAATCAAAGAGATCGACGTTTCACTAATTACTATCGTTTTGTATCACTATACACAATAGCTGGTTATAGGTATATAATACTATGGTCATAGGTACCATTGCAGCTATCGTACATTCGTACCTATAGGTACAAGACAATTGCATAGGTTATGCGTACCGCATAATTACTACACTGCGATAATATGCAGTATTGCATGTGTAAATATGTAGGTATTGTATTTCTAACATATATATATATATATTATAAACGTACCTACTAATCGTAATACACCAATACGTATAATTAATTTCACACCGTCCATCGTTGTCGCGACACACGGGACACGCGTAACTATTGCCTATTGGCCATTATATTATTATATGCGGGTACTCGCGTCTATATGCATAATAATATAGTAATAGGTATGCGGAATGCGAAAAACAGAAACTTTGTGCGCAAGACACGATGAAGAATACTGCCGGGAAAATGCACGTTCTTACGTTTTGTTGCTTTTTTTTTTTTACTACATATCATTTCCTCTCTTGACTCGCGCTCATCGCTGCGGGACGTTGCTAATAACGCGGCCTCATGCACTATCCCTTTCGCGATTCGCAATAAATTAAAACGTATCCGTATAAACTATATACGTCATGTACGATATCGATAGGTAACTAAATAGATCGGTACATTACACGGCAAACCGAATCTCTCCTCTCGCCGCCACCGCTTCGACATTTATTCGCCGTCGTGATCTAGCGGGCGGCCTCGGGCATTGCCTCGTAGCCGCCGCCGCCGCCGCCGCCGATGACGACGACCACCGCGACGCGCGCCCGCGAGCCGGTGACCGGCATCGCCGCCGCCGCAGCCGCGAGGCTACCCTCCACACCGCCACCGCTCGCACACCGCAGTCTCGTTATACTCCCACCACCGCCGGCATCGTCGCCACCACCAACGGCCACCGCCACCACCACCACCACCACCACCACTGCCGCCGCCGCCACCACTACTACTACGACTACTACTACTATTTACTACACACTATTCTACTACCAGAAGCACTGCGCCGCTCCGGGCTCTGATACTCCCGCCGCTTTTTGCCCGTGGTCAGACGTTTGCCGCCGCCACCGCCGCCGCTGTGCCTCTAGCAAGAGCCGTCCTGCCCGGCAGTGTATCACCACTTTTCACTAGTAGTAGGCGGTAGTCGTAGTGCACAGTTGTCATTGCCGCCGTGGTCGTGTGTCGTGTATGTTTTCCGATCGCGCGTGTGACAGACGAAAAACCGACTCGGTTTTATTTTTGCGTCGTTGATTTTTGTTTTTTCATATAACCCGAGAAGGTTGTCGATATATTGCCAATTGTTTTTTATCGTTTTCTCGAATCGGGCGAAATAATAATTTTTCGCTTCGTCGTCCCTGCAGACGACGTGCAGCATCGGTGCTCGTATATAACATTTCTCCTTTTTTTTTGTCGAGTTTTTAATTCTGTGCGCCGCGAAATCACGAAAAGTTTTTAGTGTACCGAACGAAACGTACAATATTGAACAAATACGGTAAAAAGCCACAAAACGTTTCTACCGAATATTAATTATTAACGTCATTCCGCCGCCGGCCGCCGCCGCCGCCGCCGCATGTGGAGGTTACACATGCGGCGGAATCGGCGACCGCCGCAGAGGAGCCCACCGGCGGGACGGCGATCTCTTCGTTGCCGTTGACACGCTCGTCGATTATCCGCTGCACCGCCGACGGGCACCACTGGCGCCCGAAGCAGACGCCACAGCCGCTATGGCCATCACCGCCGCCACGATCACCGCTGCCAGCAGCAGCAAATGGGTATGGCGGCCAAGATGGACCGGGTGGACGACGACTTCGCGGTGTCTTCCAACATTCTGCCATTGCGAGGGTCACGATGACTGCGAAACCGACGACTCACCACCCGCCGGCCATCCACGGCCGGTGCGCCGACGTACAAGGCAGCAGTCATCGTTCGGGCTGTCCAAGTTCGCGCTTGCCATCATCACTATGTTGATGATATTGGCCACTGCGATCGAGGTAAAGTGTAATTTTTTTTTAGAAATATTTTCTCACTACTCATATTGTAATAATTATACCGATATCGGCCGTGGAGTTGTCGTAATGTTAATTAATTATACATACGCACACTGCGATAAACCACGATGCAAACGTGATCAGAAAATTGATTTCAGCGAAAAAAATATCCCGAGATTTCAATTCAAATATAAATAGTATACTATTCTACAAACGCGCCGGCAAGAATAAAATACCATTCGGAACAAAATTCAAATTCAATAGACAAATGAAGTACTATATCATTTTGTTGATTTCGTTATACCTAAATACCTATAATCTCTATTATTCTATTAATAGTAGCATATTACATCATATTGTAACAATCTTTTATTCCAGAATTTTTTATTTACCATATGATATGCCATATATCATTAGATTACACAAGTTACAAAATTCCAATGGTCTATTTAGTCTTCCCTCCCCCCTTCAACAGGCGCCTTTGTAATTGTTTCATTTCAAGTCCGTTTCCGAATTTTATCCCGACCATTTTACTCATCTATATAGTACCTACGAAGCAATATAATCGTTTTTCCGACGCTTGTCGTGTCGTGGTAATGAATCCGTATAGGGACACCAATAATAATAATTATACTACACATATACATTATATGGAGGAGAGTACACGGCAATATAACAATAACGGCTGTACATTATTTTAGTATCGCATATGTATATTGTGTATTTACGACGACGACCGTCGGATATGAACTTTGCTCGTGACGACTTTTTTCGACACATTTAATTCCATTATTATTTTTTTTTTTTTTAATTTTATTGCTACGATAATCGAGCGTTATATTATTATTATATACCTATAATGCACGGCGTTTGTGACGTGTTTGACGCCGTGTAAATGACGTACGCGATATGTGCGCGGTTTATGTGGCACGCATTTACACGCGCGGTACCTATATATATACCTATAATATATATTTATATAAAAAAACTTATTTTTTTATAGTTCTCGTCGAATTGCAGACGCTATCCACGATTGCAATATATATCGTGTTTATGGGGGCGACGGGGTGGGGGGGCACGGCAAGTATATGTATACACTGGTCGTTTGACGACGGGTTCCCACGACTGTCGCCAGCCGTGTGTATTTAAATTAAACTAAATTAATATTTGTCGTAAATATCAATTACTGCTATCTCTATAGTTAGACATAATAATACAACGTGTATATTAGTATTATAATAGTGCGTACAAATAATAACAACAACAACAATAATAATTATAATATTTATAATAGGTAATAAGTATTTTGTTTCATGTAATACAATACATGTATTAGGTTTATACAAATATTATAGTGATAAATAATAATAGTACTTGTCTTAGTATTTACCACTCATATAGGCTGAAATAACTATGAATGGCGAATTTGGATGCTTGAGATACTCATAATATTGTTTATTTTATTGTTTTTCATATTATCTCCATATCTTAACGGTTGTCCTACTTTTTTTTTCAATTTCGATTTATCATTGTACTTAGGTATAATTATTGACTCTTGTAGACACAGTTCGGCGGCTCGATGACAGAACGAGGCGGCTACACACACAGATAATGTCTTTCGCCGCTGTCAACATTGTAGAGTGTGATTAGGTATACGCGTACACCCTGTTGTTATAATATTATAGATATCTGACGGGTGCGGTGGTGTGCAGTTTTCAGGGAGTGGCAGATCGATGTACATATAATGTGGATACGTGGGATCGGGCGGCTTGGTAGCCGATAGCTCTTTATAATATCATGGCTTATCTGTTTGTTTTAAAAATCAATGGTATAAGTAATCTGTGGTGTGTGACACCTGCACCGCCGGGGCCGAACGAGTATAATAATATGATGTGTGGCGGGTGTTTTTTTGTTTGCGTGTGTGCATTAAATAGTGTTGAGCGCCGTCGGCTGTAAGTAGATATGATTCTCGTACGTCCAATAATGTTGTTGTGCAGGCGTAATATTTTTCATTCATAATATTATAGGTATATTATGACTGTTACAAATTGTGAACATTTTTTTTTTTAAAAGTTTATTAAATTATATGTAAACATTGTCTTCCTACGTGGAATTTTAAAAAGTGAGATAAATATTGTTTTTCATAACAGTCTTATTGAAAGTCATCCGTACTGCACCGTATTTACGCATCTTTTCTTATTTAACCATCAGCAATTATTACAAAACAACTAGTTCGTAATTTTTATTTATTAATTCAAAAACTATTGTGTGTTATAATATAGTAACATAATGCATATAATTGATAATATATATATATTAAAGCATTTGTGTATGTATTAATAATGAGGGGTTGAGTTGAAACTGTCAATGGAGGGGTTTCGATAAGTAAGCCGCGATGCATGTTTGGGTGGTATTACATTTTTTTTAGAGCTCGTTTGAATGACATTTGACAACCTGTTTGAGTAACGAACCCATCGAAAGATGGGATAATAAGAAACCCTCTTAAAATTAATTTGTTTTTATAAGTTATCTACGTAAGTGCTTAAACTTTTTTCTCACTTGAAAATAATTTTGTATATATTAACTGGTTTGATTATAAATAGTAATATTATGATAGCTTTTTATTTTACCAATTACTAATATTTGAATAGAACTAGAGGTCTAAAAGTAGTTTAAATAAACCGATTATATTTTATTGGTATACAATTTTTGGTTATAACAGGTAGTTTTTACTAGTTTTAAAAACATTCAAATGTTGTGTACATATTATCAAAAAGGTGAATTAGGTAAATAAATCATAATTTCTCAAATTTTTAAGGTCTTATAATAATTTGTTTCATTCTTATACTTCGGTTAGTTTTTTTCACGTTCTTCAAGTGTAATTTATGACGATGCTAACCGTGCTTTTGTTGTCTCCGTCTTACAAACGTATGATACAAACAATTTTCGTTCACTATAGTTTCACTTGTGTGCTGATGTTACTTGTTTGTTTTAATATTAGAGTAAAACTTAAAGGTAAGAAGTTTAAGCGTTGGCTTTTATTTAATGTTTCAATTTTCAAGCGAGATATAATTATTTTTAAAATTTGAGATTTCACATATTCATATTTTGCTTGCAAATTAAAATATTAAAAAATCACTGATGAAGTTCTGAAAAATAAACGTTAATCTTAATTTATATATTTCAAGAGTTTTGATTTTTTTATTGTTTATTGTACATAATTGTTACACAATGGTTAAATAGTTGAATCACTTATGCAATATGATGGAATATGCTTATCACATTTTTTCTATTAGAAAATTAACATTATGCTATATGCATAATAGAAAAAAAAATGATAACAGATATACATAATTTTTATTTACATGAATAATTTTAGGAAGAGGGCATCCAGTAATGAAACCCAAACTTTTCACCTTAACCGTGAACTTTTATTGAAATTGTTAAACAATATAGTTTTGACATTTTATTATCGGTTGTTGGTTATGTTTTTCATCTCAAATATTATTTTTTGAAATCAGTCTGCTTGATTTATTAATATATCATAATATTACCTCAATGGTGAATTGGGCTGAACAATATAAAATTGTATTTATTTTTGTATTAATTTATTAATATTGCACAATATGTAATGTAATTAATTATTCTTGAATTTTTTTTTGGCCAATAAATATTATCTTACCTTTTATTATAAAAATAAATATATAATAAACTAATACTTAATTATTAAAATAAATATTGATTTTTCATGGAATTTTATCATTTTTTATGAATTCAATTTCGTGAGTACTATATTGTTAAAATATATTTACTTAGTGATTTTATTATTTTATTGAAAATAAAATGTCTAATCTCATTTTATACTATCAGTCTGGTATATTGATACCATTATAACTATAGGTCCGGGGGTAATCACATTTTTCCGGATTCTATTTACTGTTCATTGAAGCGCGCATACGATTAGTTGAGCTTATAATTTTATATTAATTTTTGTCAATTTTCTGTTAAATAATTATCTGATTATTGAAATTAGTAAACAACTGTACAGCCTGTATAAAGAAGTGTTGTGTATCTGGTTATAGTGTATATATTATCCTACTATAGAATTCATATTTATACATTTTATACATAATATATTATATTTAAAATTGAGATTACAATATACTTGGGTAAAGAAAAATCGTTTTTGTTGAACATACGTCTTCGTTACCTAACGTAAATAAAATATAGGTAATTTATTAGTGTTTACTATATTTCCCATTTTATTGGTACCTAACTCGAAGAAAAACTTTTAACTATTGCTGATTTATTTTGGTAGGTAGGTGACTATTTTAAGTGTATAGATCTTGGATATATTTTCCTACTTCGATATGTTTTTGAACTTTAGAGTGTGAAAATATTAACGGGAATAGTTAGAATGTTATAGATGGACAGGGAACGTATTGTTTTACAAATGCTGAGTGGACAAATTTGAATTTATCTGTTAGATTAACGTTTATTAATCTGCGTTTCCAAAGTATCTGCGGCTCTAAAATTTAGGAAGTTCTTTAAATCTGGAAGTAGTGAGCGAAATATATATAATTTCTGTGTTAGTATAACTCTAGTATAGCCAGTATAGGTGCTGTATAATAATATATTATCGCCCCTCTTTGGACCTGAATGGTGTTTGGTCGCTATATTTTTGTTAAAACTTGTATCGTGGGGTCAACCGGACGTTTTTCCCGAACATCGTCTGGAGGACTATATACTCGTATTATAATATACCGCCGTGTAAGTCGTGTTTGGCCGCGTCACATAACATATTATAGTCGACCCATTCGTATAGAGGTATATTATTAATTTATACCTATTTATATACGTCGCTGCCTCCGATACTTGAGTTTTTTTTCTTCAAAAGTTTCGGTTATTATTATACACGCACACGGCGATAGCGACTTGATACGCAAAACAGTGTACCTAAATCTCGCGTGAATTTCATCCCGAACAGCCGCTGTATATAATTA